CATGTTTACCTAGTTCCTGTGCGGCTTTCTTCCAAGCCTTCACATGTTTTGTCCCGGATCACGTGATCCGAAACGATTGATCGCGGCGAAATATTGAGGCCTATGAACTAAGCAACATCCATGTAATGTTCATAAAAAATCTCTCAGAGAATCAACGCGTCATGAAGATTGAATCTATTATCACTTTTTAGATGTTTGTAACGAACGATAAAAACTCAAAAATGTGCTAGGTGGTAAGAGGAAGGGTTCGTCAGAGAAACAAGAAATTTTGGAAGCTGGGCCAGGTTGATGAGGAACGTTGAACGGTGGAATGTCAAGTGTCTTGCGTGGCCAAAGCGTCTGCACAGATATCACAAAATAAGATTTTTCCACGCCAAAAAAAATTAAGAAAAGACCAGTTACGGTTAGTAATTACATACAATTAAGCAGAAATAATCTCTATTCCGATTTTGTGCTGGTCATGTGGATTTGAAGACAACAGGAAATAGAAATGTACCAGCTAATGGAGGACTCCTCAGGTTCGCGCAGAATCTGTGTGAAATGTCGGCACGGCTTTACCTTTTCCAGATTTTACTTCAATATTTTTTCAGCCCTTTCATGAACCATTAATTGTGGAAGTTGTCAAAGAAATACAAATTTTTCGCTTCCGTAGCTATATTCCTCCGTTCAATTCACCCGTCACTCCATGCCAGTTCATCGATTTATATTTTTCCGGGAATTCTATTTTTTTTCCGGGAATCAACATTTGTCGAGTTCTTCGAATCAGCTAAGTCGAGATTCGTCTCTCATTTTATGTTGCTTTTGAAAACTGTTTTCTTGGCGAATTGTTGGTGGAAAACGGAATTAACAACTAATCGAGTCATTCTTTACTGTTAAGCGTAACATTTTAATCGAGAGGTAAGCTTAGAGATGATATTTGCAGCAACGTAACAGGAAAAGTAAGCTTACATCAATTAATTTATAAGCTAAATTATTGGAGCAAAAGATAGTGAAATGCACGATTTTTCGGTAAAATAATAGTGCACTTCGTGTCGTTAGATTCTGTTCGACTGCTTTTATCTTAAGTACAGTTAACTGGACGTTTTCACTTTCGGGTTATATAAATTTAACAAAACATGAATCCCGGAAGCAGTCAAAATGGCGGGATCCGCAGGAAACCAACACTAGAGCGCAATAGAAAATCAGTGAAAGAAAAGTAAAAGCCAGAATCTTGCTTTTCATCGTTACAATTGTGGCAATATTCTAGCCATTAGAACCTTTATGAAGCATTTGATTCAGTTTGATTGTTCAAACGAATTTCATGTGACGTCAGCAAAAT